CACTGCTGAAGGTCTGCCCTAGCAATCCTCTGTGATCTAGTACTCCTGGCTTCCCAGCCCTGTGTGGTCTGCTCCTGAACTCTAGTTTCTGGATTTGCCCTTGGATTTGGTCATTCGGCCTCCAATTCCTGAACTTTGACTCTGCTTGCAGTTTGGACCTTACCCCTGGATTTCCCGAGGATTGAGCTTACATTTCAGACTCTCCTTCTCTTTGTCCCTCTTCTGCTGGTCTAACCACTAGCCCAAGCCACCTACAACTCAGTTCATTACAGTAATTAAACCCTGGGGGAGGGGAAAAAGATAGAAAAGAAATTAGAAAGTGAACAAGAAAAATCAAGTGAAAAGGTGTCTTCTGAAAGTAAGTTCTATTCACCCAGTGCCCTGGGCCAAATTTGGATTGCAGGACTACCTGAGTAACGCGGCAGATCCCAAAGCCTTGAATGGCATGGACATGGTGCCTGGAAGCCCCCACAGCACACCAGATCCCTGCTCAGTCTACCCCTCCCCACCCCCACACACTTGTGGCTGCCTGTGCTGTCTGTCCTGAGGGAGCAGGCAGGGAAGAGTTAACCTGTCTGCCCAGCTGCCATCCTGAGACTCTCTGGGCAGGCTCAGTTCTGAGAACCTGCAGTGGTGGCTGTGTAGGTAGGTTAACCCTTCCCTGCCTGCTCCCCTTGGACAGCCAGCCCAGCAGATACAAGTAGGCAGGGGCATGGGGCAGAGGCAACAGGGGGGAAGCCCAGAATGGGAGGTTGGGAGATTCTTACCTTTCAGTCCTCCGGGCTCGAAGTGTGACTGCTCCAAACTCGAGCTAGGATTAACACTGATGAACATTTGTGTGGCTCACAGTGTAAGATGTAACAAGGCACTTATACAAATTCCTGTTACATGTTAGCAATGGTGCTCAAGGACTGTAGGTACAAATAACTGTACTTAAAGTTCACAAATATGGACACATTTTAAAAGTGTGGCCTTTAATATCAGTATACAATAGGCTGCAGCCAGTAGCTAAAAACAATAACTTCCTGACAAATGTAGGCTTACCTTGCCTTCTTCAAATCGAAGATGGAGGACTTTATCCCCCGGTTTATAATCTTTGAGAAGTTCTGCTGACTTCCAGACCTCCTCAGGATCAGGGATCCAAATCCTAGCAAACTGCAATGTAAAAACAAGTAAAATATCAGTGATTCCTCCTTATTAATAACATACTCTTCAATACACACATCATCAAATACTTGACTCATATACTGTATTAGAATACCATCTGAACTTCCAAGTAACAGATATCATTGTAAATTAAAATGTCTACTATGAACTCAAACACCATTCTAATCCACTGAGAAAAGCCATACATGTGAGAAAATGTATTTCCTATGCACAAAAAAGATATTAATTTCATATTAAAATAACTTCAGCAAAATGCAAGTTTAGTGCAGAAAATATAGAAAAGAAATTTTTTTTTATATTAGCCAGGATTATGTTTTCTAAAGGATTTAATTAAAACAATTCTTTTGAGACTTAGATAATTTGAACAGATACTGTGAACATTATCATCCAAAGATAAGATTACAATATAGCAAATTTTTACTATTTTTAAAGTATTCATCTCCATCTTTGCTGTGAATTCTGGTTGAATTATATGACCTAGACCTTTAAAAGCTGCAAAACTTCTACCTTTGTTTAAAAGTTTACACACTACAAAAGAAAAATATGGAATTCCAGGTAAGATCACATGCATCTAAGTCGCAATGAATGGACTTAATTAACTTTTTATCCTTCAGTCCGTAAGAGCACTGAATGTTCCCAACTTTACATTATCACACCAGCTCCTTCCAAAGATGGGGGTACAGTGGAATGAGGATGGAAGAAAGCCACATGTCGATAGGTTCCTCCAACTGTGGATTAATGAGGGAACACACTTTTTTGGCAATTCATTTTTGCAGATCACAAGCTTCTTCTTAGCTTTGAATCATGAAAGCTGCTACACACGAGATAAGACTCGTGGCCCATTCATACAGTTTCCAAGCCCCAATACCGCACAGAAGGAAATGACTCAGAGAATGACACAAAACAAGTACACTTTCCAGTTCCTGCAAGAGTTTTGGATGCCCATACCATCATTTTTTTCACTATTTTTTATAAACAGGAGCAGTATGATCATCCAGTGTGGCCAGTTCTATGACAGGACAAACATTTTACCAAGAAATTCCACAGCTCACAGGTGCCAACTTTTATTTTTGATGGGAGTTGGAGGGGGCCTGCACTCTCCCTCCTTCAATGTGGGGCCTCAATCTGCCCCCCTCTCCCGTACAGACTTACCTGCAGGCAACTGGGGGAACTGCTCTCCACCGCTGCCTCGGGCTTTATTCTTGGCCACGTGTACGTGTGCGCATGCATACATGCATGTGGTGCCCCTGCATCCTGTTCCCTGCAGCGCACTGCAGGCTGTAACTGCCAGCCTGCAAGGGGAAACCCCCCCATTTCCCACAGAACAGAAAACCTAGATCCCTGCATGATACTGGAAATCCAGGACAAATGCTGTCCTGGAATCATGCAGCCTGGGACTGGGACTTGATCTTCCCATTTCAGGACTGTCCCAACCAATTACAGATGGGTGGTCACCCAACACCTCTTCCCAAGGGAGGCCAAGGCCCTCAGACCCCCACGTACTCGGCACCAATGCTACAGGTTGTAGCTGAGTTAGAATTTAAAAATTACGCAGTCATGATCTGGAACTTCAAATTATGGGTATTTAACTACATCTCTTAGTAAACTGTTCCAAGTATTAATTATTCAAAACTGTTAAAAAAATTCTGCCTCCTCTGTAACCTGAATTCATATAGCATCAATATCGAAACAGTGATTCTTTGTCTGCTACATAAAAGAGCTTTATAATTCTAGACCTTCTCTCTCTATGCATGAGCTTAAGTCATTAAGTCATCTTTTTGTCTCTCTCTCTCATGAGCTAAATAGAGCTTCCTATGTCAGCACCAATCAGGCAGTTTTCTAGACCTCTTGCTATTCTTTCCAAACTCTTTCCAGTTCTTCGACACCTTCTAGATAGTGTGGATATCAGAAATGAACACAGTTGGTAGCCTTAACGGTCTCAAGAACCCTGTATACAAAGGCAAGTAAACCACTTTCTCCTTTTACATAATATACCCGCATTTATACATCCAATCATGTTATCCCTGTTATGCACAGCACTGCACTGAGAGCTGCCTGATTATTCACCACTATGCCAAAATATTTTTTTCTGAAGTAGTCCCCCCGCCCTGTCTGTATATTTTTTTATTATTATTGTATGGTGGTAGGAGAAATGGTCAAGTTACAAACCTCTATTAGGTGCTAGTCACTGTACAAATTGCAACAAGACAATGGTTTATTTCAGAAAGTGCCTGCAACTTAAGTAAAGTGACAAGAGACAACCTGTACCTAAGGAACACACAGAAAAAAAATGGAAGTAATATTAGTTGGTATAACAAGAGCTAGTCTAATTCTTGGAATGTTTTTCAAATGAGCCTAGCTTATTAGCAACTGGGACTGCTCTGTAGAGTTGACCTATCCTCACAAATGTTTAACAGAATATCAAAGATTTTAATTGCCTACAACTATTATTCAGAAATAACTTTATCAGTTATTTTGAAGGAAATATAGATACTCAATAGCACTGGGACAAAAAATGAAAGAATATCAGTCCTCACTAAAACACCTGCTAGCAAATGAAGATATTTCTAATTACTTTTTGTATCTATTACTGAATCAGCTGTTAATCAATTTCATATGTACTGTGCTAGTTCCCATTACTGTTAATTTTTTTCAGCATAACATCACAGAAAACACTAAATCAAATGCCTTCCAAAAAGCCAGATACATTACTGTCAGCTTAGTTACCTTCATGTAGGCCTTGATGAAACCTAGAACTCCATGTTGGTAGAAATTCTATAACACTGACTTTTGGGGGTTTTTTTAGGGGTTTTGTTTTGGTTCATCTGCTTTGTTGCAAGAGAAAACAACAGAATTCTGACATTTCCCACTGAATGAAAATTGAAAATTACATTTTGGATAAAAATCAAAACAACACGGTATTTTGACCTTACAGAACACTGATTAACTCCTGGAACAGACTACCTAAAGAGGTGGAAGAATCTCCGTTCTTGGAAGTTTTAAGAGCAGATTAGATGAACATTTGTCTCAAATGGCTTAGACAGGGATGGTCCTACCTTGAGCAGGCAGTTGGACTAGATGACCTCCCGAGTTCCCTTCCAGCCATACTGTTCTATGACTCCATGATTTCAATACAGTCAACAATTTTGTTTGGATATTAACTGAACTTCCTTCATATATTAAATATATTTTCAGTATATTAAAATAAAATATTTTGATTCTTATTTTATATGCTTGACTGTGAGTGGGTTGGGCAATCTTAGCTTCATCTCTCCTCTGTATTTGTCTGCCACAACTTGGATTGGGAAGAAAAGAAAGGAGATCAGTGCTCTTTGATGTTTGGGGATAGATAAATGCCATCCTGGTGTTAAGTGCTCACAGTGTTATTTTAGTTTCCAAAATAAAAGTGGTACAGTTACAGTAATCTTGCTAATTACTTCATTAGCAAGGGAAGCCTGTGTTACAGATGAGGAATCTCCGTGCCAGATACCTTATAGATACTTTGTGAATAGTCTCCGCCGTTAATTGTCTCATTAGCGATATGCGCTCTCCGCGTCTCTCATTGTCCACGGGCACCTTGTGCCGGGAGCAGTCCCCTGCTGCTCTCTCACAGTCTATCTCGCCGTTTTTCGGCATTGACTGTCCTGACGGGCTAGGCTCCTGGCAGATTCACCACCCAGCACCTCAATATCTCCCCGCACTCACCGGTGCAGCTGGGATTCTCAGAGAGGTAATCTCCCTTACGGCTGACCTGCCGAGTCTCCTGAAGTTCCACACCCCCGGTGTCCTTCTAGATTGCAGGTCCAGCTTCTTGTTTTCTCTCTGAAGTCTCGGTGTCTTCTAGTGCCCAAAGGCAATCAGTTAATGCCCCACTGCCAGCTTTATGCCGGTTTTGGCGGGCTAATCACCCAATCCTGTCTCGGGTGTGTAATTTCCTCCACCTGGCAGGGTTCGTTGTCGGGTCAGTCCTGCCCGACCTTGCCTAAGTAGCAGGGCTCCTGCCTGAATCCCTGTTACACTGACCAACAATTTACCTATTTCCTACTAAATGTTTCAACTACAACAAATAATTATTTTCCAAAACAAAAGTATGCTGTCAGAAAAATGTAACCAATTCAAACTTTATCAACCATTTAGTTTAATCAGAAAGTTGCAACAAACTTATCTGATGAGAATTATTTTCCATGAAATGATGTCAACAGTTGAATCCAAGTTAGTTTGAATAAAATGTCATTAGCATGGACAGCTGTGTCATCTAGCGTCTTTCAGAATATCTATTGAACATACCTGTCTTTTGTACAACATTATTCATAATTTCATTATCCCTATTTAGGAATGTATGTATATCTTCTGTTCCTGATATACTTAAAAAACAATTTTTATTGGCTTTAAGTAGAGATGTTTCATTTAGATATTTACCAATCTATAGCAATTGTCCTAAACATCTTCGCACTCGCACAGTATACCCATGTTCTACAAACCTTGAATACTATATATGATTACTCATCCATACTAGCAAAAGGGACAATTTCATTGCAGAGGATTTTACAGAAACAACCCACTTTATAGGGTCATAAGAACAGACACACACCCAAGGTTCTGTATTCTAGTAGCAGCAATGACTAACTATTCCAAAAATAAAATACCCTGGCCAATTTTAAAATTCTGAACATGGTAGAAATACTACTTCTTTCAAAAACCCAGGGACACCCAGAACCATAATTATTAATCTTTTAATGAAAACAAAAATCTAGCCATAGTATTTTAGATCCAGTACATGTCACAGTGGAATTCATTCGATGTTTCTTTATTCTCAGTTTCCTAGAAAATATTACATCTGTCAATATATAAGAGCCAGGAACTAAAAAATAATGATGAAGCACTGATTTCATTTTATGAATCCAGATCCTGAACCATTCAGGCATAGGTGCAGATCATGAGCCATTTAATAATGGCAGCAACTATACCCAAAGTTATACCTGGTAATA